AGGAGGAGGGCAGGGGATGGAGCATTATGAGCAGGAAGGATAGGGTTGTGAGGAGATGAAAGGTGGGAGGACATGGGTTGGGAGGAAAGGGATGGGGCAGAAGGGAAGAAATAAGAAAACATTGTATTCACTCGGAATTTCTCACAAGAAAGGGAGTGGGGGGGGGGTAAGTACAACAACAGAAAAAGTCGGATAACGTCAGAGAATATCACAGACTGTGGAAGTGCCAACACTTGTACAGCTTACACATTTATACAGGTTCACTTTGACACTTGTACAGCTTACACATTTATACAGGTTGACTTTGACACTTGTATAGCTTACACATTTATACAGGTTCACTTTGATCACTGTGGTCCAAATACTAGGCAAAAAAAAAAGCCTCATAAACTTTGTTCCGTCTCATTACGGTAGCACACAAGTCCGAAATCCACTAAGTAGAGGTTACGTCTATTCTCATTTCACCTACAATAAGCCCCAAATCCACCGACCATGTGTTAAGTCTATTCTCATCGCAATAAGTCCAAATCTACTGGAGAGTTTTAGTTTTAGCAGAGGTTTTACGGTGCTCGCAACTGCATAAGGTCGTATGAGCGCCAGAAGATTAGAGGTGTTACAAGAGAGTAACGAACATAAACAAGAAGAAGAGGAGATAAAGACGATAGATGTTAGATAGGAAAGAAGAAGCAAACCACACCAGAGCACCCGCCAACCACCCACAATCTACACGACAGTCTACGAGCAAAATGTAAACCCTGTAAGACACCACGACACGAGAATGTCCTTACCTCATTTGGGAACACTTTGAGCAATGTTTCTACCTCTTCGCAATTCTTCTGCCTGAACCAGAGAAGAAAATCAAAAACAGAATGAAAATGTACGTAAGCTGAGAAATGACGAGCCACAAATCAATAGAGCCTATACTGGCACACACATCTTGTCTTACTGCAGTGACAAGTTCACAGCAAACTCGAGACATCAAGAACAATTCAACGTTAGGGATAAAAAAATTGGATTTTAAATTATATCTGTACTGCATAGCGCCGTAAAACCCTGTACTACTACTTATATAATCTGTAGGCTACCTACTGGCCTTTCCATCTTCAGAGACTTCCAAGTCAAACCAAACAACCAGCCAATCCTTCTCCGCATCAAAGCACTAACATACTACATGCACATGTCAAAACGTTATTCACACAACAGTTCTGTTGGTACCAGTTCGAACCTAATTAAGGGCCAAACAGCTACGAAGTGTAGCAGTGTCCTGCTAACAACGTAGAATCTCCCAGTGAGACAACACAGAGCATTGAGCCAAATGAGGCACAGGTGTGCTGAACCACCTCCTACCAGGGACCAGCCTCATCTAACACATTGTTCCCCGCACTGGCTACACCCCACAGGGTATGGGTTCCATCCTACTGGGGATCAGCCTCATCAGGCTACATACCACAGGGTATGGATTCAATCCTCCCGGAGATCAGCCTCATCAGGCTACATACCACATGGTATGGGTTCCATCCTACGGGAAGTTGGCCTCAATGGGCTACATCCTATTGAGGAAAGACTACAGCCTCCCTAGGGGAGGAGGTTGGGAAAAAGTCTGTGTGCTACATTTCAAACTGGAGGGGGAGGTTGTATGTGTCCTGGGCTACATGACATGGCTACATGACATGGCTACATGACATGGCTAAACGAACAGTGGAGGATGTGTAGATAGTGTCTGTACTGCTGGCCCATGTCAGCACAATTGTGAGCAATGACCTAACCAGAGGCTCTCCGGAACACCTACTGATATCACAGTGGCCTATTATTGCACACAGTGCCCTATAGCTTTGTGCTACGTACAAACGCATCAATATCACATCATCATATGCCTTGAGCGTAAAAGGGTTCCATCTCCTGATATCACAGAGCCCCATTCCTGGTATATTATTATATCTTATTTCGGCACTGATTTATCAGTGTCATATTTCTTGACACATAAGTGTGTCATGCACTGCTATCATAGTGTTACATTCCTTGTATATATATATCTCTCTCTCTCTTATTTTTGTATTGATTTATCAGTGTCATATTTCTTGATACATATTGTGTCGTGTATAATAGTGTTATATCATAGTGTCACATTCCTTGTAACTATAATTTATTTATGTAGTTATATTATATCACACAGAGTCCTGACTCAGACTAGCATAGTACCATGTACAGATATAACAGAGTCCTATTGTACATAGTACCACGTACAGATATCACAGTCCTATTGTACGTAGACTAGCATTGTACCACTTACAGATATCACAGACCTATTGTACGTAGACTAGCATTGTACACGTACAGATATCACAGTGTCACAATCCTTGTAGTACATACCCTAGTATTAAGTCAGCATGAGAATGGAAAACCACATATGTATATATATGTCATGAGTCATTTCAGAAATGGTCACTTCTATCAAAAATAGTAACAAACAAAAGTACATATTATATAAATACATATTCATGAATGACAGTGTAATATTAACAAAAGTAAGAATGCAATAACAAGATGGTTTGAGGATACAATATTCCCAACCTTAGTTCGATACAGGTAGGAGAAAGACTAGGTAGATATGAGCAGTGCTGCGAAAATAGAGAGTGGATTAGAGCTGCAGAAATAGCCTTCAGCCTGTCACTGTATAGAGCCAGTAGGCAATGGGTTAGTAGATGATACATCAATATCTCTAGTAGGACGCCACAGAGGTAGCAGTTGACGCCACAGAAATCTATTAGCCAATGACAGAAACAAACAAGACTTATCTAGCGCTACAAAGTAAGTAAATTATCCCGTTGAGTAAAAAAAAACCAACCCACGTTATAGTTTAAATTATTCCCCCCCTTACGACAATAATTTGGACAACTTTCTACCTCGCACGTGGAAGGTCGGCAAAACCAAATGGCCGCACAGCTCAAAGCAGATTCCAATAGTTTTCTTGTACATTTATTTCCTTTTAAAATGTAAAAGACAAAGAACAAACACATAAGACACAAATAACAGACATAAACAACAGAGACAAATAACAGAGACATATAAAGAAGAGAGACATAAAGAAGAGAGACACGTGAACGACACAAGCAAGAGAGACACGTGAACGACACAAGCAAAGTAACAGGTAACTGCGCTCTCAGCAACCACAAACCTATGTGGGACAAGGAAACCCTTGTTACAGTAGCACCTATATATATATAATATCCACAAAGACAAAACACTAGGGACAGGATGATTGTAGCAATGGTACAGTCACATGATCAGTTCCAGGCAATGATGGACTCTTTTACAGCGTGATCGAGCACATTTGGACACAACAAGACAGGACCACAGCGGCTACTTACCTTCCTGCTCTCCCTTTCTAATCACAAGTGACACAGAAAGACACTGAGGGACACAGAAAGACACAGACTGGACTGTGGTGTGTGGGTAGGGCCAGCCATTAGGCCAGGTAGTGGGGGAGGGGCAGGGAGGGGCGGTGGAGCATGTGTGTATTGTAGAAATAGCCAAAAGCAAGCTTTGCTGTATAAAAGTTTACATGGGAACATGGCTTCAGCAGTAAAGGAAGAGGACACAGAGGAAAAAAAAAGGAGCTGTGGGGGTCGGTGTATGTGGGTATATATGGGTCTACTATCAATAGTTCCGGGCAGGGTGGGACATAAACATGGATTTACTATTGAATGCCCTGGAGGGGGGTTCATAGGTTTATGGGTTCACAATTGATGATCCCTTGAGGGAAGGGTGGGGGGTGGAGGTGGTTACATGGGTACACTAATAACGGTCCCGCCCCATATATGCAATGTTCCTGCAGCGTGGGGTCAAGAGGTCATGACAGGCAAAAGAAGGCAAATGTACGACAGTTATCCACAACAATGAAAACCAGAAAGAACTAAAAACCAATGGGGAAAAGCAAAACAACAGTGACCAGACACCGAGCCTTGCCGGGAACGAGATACAGTCCTGTCTGATCTGACGGCCACCTGTCCTTAGACAACCACCTCCCAAATCAACCACCTGTCCAAGACAACCACCACCCAAATCAACCACCTGTCCTAAGACAACCACCACCCAAATCAACCACCTGTCCTAAGACAACCACCTGTTCAAGACAACCACCTGTCCAAGACAACCACAGCCCAAATCAACCACCTGTCCAAGACAACCACCTGTCCATGACAACCACAGCCCAAATCAACCACCTGTCCAAGGCAACCACCTGTCCAAATCAACCACCTGTCCAAGACAACTACAGCCCAAATCAACCACAGCCCAAATCAACCACCTGTCCAAGACAACCACCTCCCAAATCAACCACCTGTCCTAAGACAACCACCTGTCCAAGACAACCACAGCCCAAATCAACCACCTGTCCAAGACAACCACAGCCCAAATCAACCACCTGTCCAAGACAATCACCACCCAAATTAACCACCTGTCTAAGACAATCACCACCCAAATTAACCACCTGTCCAAGACAATCACCACCCAAATTAACCACCTGTCCAAGACAATCACCTGTACTTACGACCAATTCCCCCCTTGTGTTTAAAGAAAATCATACCGACACTATCCAAACCATCCACCTGTCTAAGACAACCACTTTTCTCCTCCACAATGGGTGGCCGTCTTCGACAATTTCGACTGTATTCAGAAACCCAGCAAGGCGTTCTATGAACCAAGAGAAAAAAGGGAAGTGTTTGAATCCAACTGTGGGTATTACAGCACAACCAAACACTATTAGGTCACATCAACGCCAAGAAGCAGATTAGTTTTGAGTTTTGAGTTAACCAGAAGCACATCAACACAAACACAGTGACCACTGCTTAGTGCTGGGAACTATACAGACAGACAGAGAGACAGAAACCACACAGGGAGAGGAACAACACAATGAGCACTGCTTAGTGCTGGGAACTATACAGACAGATAGAGAGACAGAAACCACACAGGGAGAGGAACAGACAGACAGACAGACAGACAGACAGATAGAGAGACAGAAACCACACAGGGAGAGGAACAACACAGACAGACAGACAGACAGACAGACAGACAGACAGACAGACAGATAGAGAGACAGAAACCACACAGGGAGAGGAACAACACAGACAGACAGACAGACAGATGAACAGACAGACAGACAGACAGGGGCAAGAACAAGACAGTCAGACAGTCAGACAGACAGACAGTCAGACAGACAGACAGGGGCAAGAACAAGACAGTCAGACAAACAGACAGACAGACAGTCAGACAGACAGACAGACAGACAGACAGACAGACAGACAGACAGGGGCAAGAACAAGACAGTCAGACAGACAGACAGTCAGACAGGGGCAAGAACAAGACAGTCAGACAGACAGACAGACAGACAGACAGACAGACAGACAGACAGACAGACAGACAGATGGACAGACAGACGGACAGACAGACAGACAGACAGACGGTCAGACAGACAGACGGACGGACAGAAGGCAGAAACAACAGAAGGACAGGAATAATACAACAATTGAAGGGATAGGAACAACACAGACAGAAACAAAAGTGGGAAAGGAAAGAAGTAAACCATGACAATGGCCATATTTCACCAGGAACAGAAGAAGGAAACAGCAGCAAAGGACAAAACCAGAAGGTAGAAGACCAGAACAGACAAGTTTTTGTTAGAGTTTTACGGCGCTCGCAACTGCATAAGGTCACATGAGCGCAAAGCAGACAAGTCACAAACCACCACACTGTACCTGAAACCTTCTACAGCCATTGACAACAAAATAACAACTGTACCTGAAACCTTCTACAGCCATTGACAACAAAATAACAACTGTACCTGAAACCTTCTACAGCCATTGACAACAAAATAAGTGTACCTCAAAATTCCTTCTCTTTCAGCTATTGACAACAAAATAACAAGTGTACCCCAAACTTTCTTCTCTTTCAGCCATTGACAACAAAATAAGTGTACCTCAAAATTCCTTCTCTTTCAGCTATTGACAACAAAATAACAAGTGTACCCCAAACTTTCTGCTCTTTCAGCCATTCACAAAAAACCAAAAACAAGTGTACCTGAAACTTCCTTCTCTTTCAGCCACTAACCAAGACTGTGTGTGTATGAACATGGTAACAAACGTACCTGAGACTACTATAACCACAGCCACACGGCTCTTTGAGCATGTGTCACAAGGGTCTTTAAGCATTTGTACAAGTGTACCTGAAACTTTTTTCTCCTACTGCCACTAACCAGTCTGTATTTGTATGAGCATGGTAACAAGCGTACCTGAAACTACTAGACTATAGCCACTGCCACAAGGTTCTTTGAGCATGTGTACAAGTGTACCTGAAACTTTCTTTTCTTCCAGTCACTGACAAGACGAGTCAAGAGACCAGGGAATGTGTTCAAGTAGAACACAGTACATGTGTGGAAGATATATACAGACAAACTTGTCATTGTTAGTGTTTAAAATGTTTTACACCACTATCAACACAATTTAGATAATTGAGGAGGCCGGCTGCTTCCATCCCTTCAGTCAGGGTCAACCCGGGTTAAAAGGGATACAGTATCCCTGCAGAAAGACAGGGATACTTCCAAAAAATTCTCCGAAATTGGAAATTCAACAGTGGGGCACCTAACCTTACAACACACACATTATCTCAGATCTAAAACATCCATGTGTTAATTTTTTTTTCGTAAGAGTTTTACGGCACTTGCAACACAATAAAGTCATATAAGTGCCGAAGAATAGAGGTGTTACAAGAGCGCAACATACACAAAAAAAGGAGAAGAGATAAGGACGATAGATGTTTGAAAGGAAACATGGAGCAAACCTCACCACATTACACATAAAAGATGATCTACATGTAAATGGCTGTGACTAGAGGACATACATACGCATAAAAGACATCGACACTTGGCTGTGACCATACAACACAGACGCATCGATCTATAAGGCATCATTCACGTGTGGTTGTGCCACATGACATACGTACAGAGGACATTCACGTGTGGTTGTGCCATATGACATACGTACAGAGGACATTCACATGTAGCTGTGACCGTACGACATACACGTATAGATCTATAAGGCGTCTGCATGTGACTGTGACCATATGGCATACATATAGATCTATAAGGCATCTGCATATGGTTATCACCATATGACATATACATATAGATCTATAAGTTACCGGAATGTGAAGGTGACCATACTCCATATACATAGAAGACATTCACACGTGGCTGTGACCATAAGACAAATACGTAAGACATTCTCGTGTGGTTGTGACAGTATAACAAATATGTATGAAAGACATCCACGTATGAATGGTTGTGAGCATACACCAAAAGTAAAAAAAATTCTAAGTGAGCGTACAATGTTCTGAGAGGAACTGTTGAGAGACAAACTGTGAGAGAGTGCAGGTGTATACAACATTCAACAAAACAATGGGGAGATGGCTGGGGGAGCAACAAAAAAATTGGGAGATGGGGGAGTCGGGGGGGGGGGGGGGGGGGGGGGGGGGGGGGGGTGGGAGGGGGAGGGTAGCAGCTGGTGGGAGGGGGAGTGGGAGGGAGAGGTCATGCTAGCCGACCTCTTGCGCATGTTGGAGGTGGTGTGAGAGAGGGACAGTTCTTCTGGCCGGTTGGGGGGCTGCACACCCTCTGCGGTGTAGGAAATGCTTCGGACTACTTTTGTACGCGGCGGATCTAGACCTAATTTGTCTCGATATGACGGGGTGGGGGGAGCGGGCGGGAGGTCGGCGGGCGGACTCTGGCTCTCTGCGAGACTAGGGCATTGTGGGAAAGCCAAAGATACCCCAAAGGAAGAGGAGGTGGTCCCTCCCTGGCCGTAGGTGTGACTCAAACTACGGTGGAAGCTTTTACCGGGCGACATTCGCGAGGAGTGAGAGAGGGGAGGGGGCTGTTGAGTGGAGGTGAACGAGGGAGGGGAGAGGGGGGAGGGGGAGGTGAAGGCGGCCGACCACGAGTGTTTGTTGTGCGTGATGGAGGAGAGGGAGACGTGGGTGGGCTCCTCCCCCGGCAGCGTGAAGTCTGTGGCCGGCGGGAGGCTGACCGCCAGGGGCTGGTGGGACAAGTGGGACATGTGGGGGTCCAGGAGCATGTGTGTGGGCTCCGTGTCCGCCACAGTCTCCCCCACCACGTGGCTCTCCGAGGACACAGACATGTCGTAGGTCGGGGGTAGGTCCACCGAGCTCCACTTGCTCTCGCACACGGGCGGGGACAACTGGGAGGAGGGGTGCGCGGGGGTCGCCGGGTGCATCTGGGAGTCGAGAGAGCGCGTCATCATGGAGTGGGAGGTCAGCTTTGCCGAGCGCTTCTCCGCCCAGGGGGAGGAGGGGAGGGTGTGGGGCTGTGGGCTCTGTGGGGTGGTGGGGGGGCTGGTGGCGGGGGAGGG